CTCACAGGTTGACAACTCTGGATAATTGCATTATATCACTTATTTGTTGAGGTTGTGAAGCAATAAATACTCTCATAAACTTCTGGTCAGAGTAGAAATTGGCACAACTCTTTTGATACTGATCTGGCAATATGAATTAAAATTTTAAGTGTGGATATTTTCCCCCTCAAATTTATTTTACAGAAGTATTTAAAAGGAATTTTAAAAAGATGAACGTTATTCTTTTCTGAGAAAGATTAAAAATAATAAGTACTCCAAATATCCATCAGTTAAGAAGCAGGTTACACAGATCACATTTCTTCTGTTAAGTGGAAAAATGTGCAGTCAAGAAAAGAGGGAAATCTTGGCTATCATACTGGGATCTATGTGACAATAAAGATATTTTAGGTTCTCTAAAAAAAAAGAAAAGAGATAAGGGCATTTCTATACCATGTATACTTCATATTACTTATTTGTAGTAATTTTAAAATAGTAAGAACAAGATGGATGATGATGGTGATGATGGTGATGATGATGATGATGATGATGATAGATAGATAGATAGATAGATAGATAGATAGATAAATGATTAACAGAGAGATGGTAAATACATGATAGATATTTCCTTTCCCAATACAGAGGAGATAGTGTGTGGCATTAATCTTGACTGTGAAATTCATTGGCTTGATAGATACTAAAGGTATTAGTAGAGCACACTGTGGGTGTGTCTGCATAGGTCATGAGGGTCATGAGGGTGTGACCTTGGAGACTTTCCCTGGTCCATGCTCACTTCTTAGGCTCTTTCCTGTTTCTCTGCTTCCTGGCTGCCATGGACTGAGCAGTTTTCCTCCACAGTGCCCCTCTACCATGTTTCTGCCTTACAATTGCTGACCATAGACTGATAGCTCTGACAAGGAGCCCCCCAAAAAACACTTCCTCTTCTAAGTTACATTAAGTCTTTGGTCACAGTGATGAAAAGCTGACTAATTCATAGTGTATTTTAGTAATCAGGAAAACAAGAGAAGTTGATATATCTGACAAAGCAGTAACATTAATCTTTAGTCTAAAAATCAATGGGAAGGAACCACACAGGAAAAAATAAGGTAGAAGCTGATAGTGCAAGGTGAGCAACGGAGTTCATTAAAAATGCCAGGCCTATAGCCACAGTGCTCATGTTGCTCTTTGGCTCGGAATGTATGGAGCTGCTAGAGGAAAATTATTGCTTCATAATGTTTATTACTCTAAAAATCTCAGTTCTTTTTTGTTATATAATTTAAGAGGCAAATAAAAGAGACATTTTCTTGCAATATTATGAATTAGTATTCCAGAAAAAGAAATTTGGCAGGATTGAAAAATCACCTACTATTCCCTGGTTTAGCTGAAAAGGTTATCAACATACTGAAATTTTTTCTTCACAGTGGATGGGAAGCCACAGCCCTGAAATTCCCAAGTGCCTCTCACCTCCCTGTGATCCAGCCACCAAAGGCCTAGAGCCTGTAACAAACAGAACATCCAGGACCTTGTGACGAGACTATGCTTGTCCTTCAGACAGGTCCAGGCAGGACCTCACTGGTTGTTGAATGTTTTGAGTGTCATCTTAGAGAATCATACACATTTTCACTTCTCCCTTTTAACTAATTGGATAGCCATTGACTTTCAGTATTCTCCGTAAATCTACTGAAGGGTCACCATGCCCACCATCTTCCCCACCAGTAACCTCACCTTGATGTTGGAAAATTCCAGGATCCCTGGCTCTGTGGTACCTTTTCTGTACCTGTCATCCTATAGACAATGATTTTGAACTCTTCACTACTTTGTTCAAAGATTTGGATCTTCTTCTGTTAGCCAATAAGGGGTAAAACTTGGGTGAATTATCTGGGAGGGCGAGACCTGGCTGTGACAACTTGCAAACAAAAGAAGATAGAGGATTAGCCTATGGCATATTCACCAATTATAAGAGAAAAGCAAAGTTCTAGATTTATCTGTTGTATATAATTAATGTTTGCTTTTGCAATCTTAATCTTTTGCAACATTAATTTTTTATTCTAGTTCCACTTTCCTTAGTTTTCAGTATGATTCAAAGTGTTTTCTTCCATATGTTTATTTTCTTACTTTTTAAGACCCTCTTTATGTCTCTCATGTGTCCTTTCATTAAAATTCAGAATCCAGGGTTCCCTTTTGACTGAGTGATTTTTCCTGTGCCAATGTTTGGCAAGCATTAATAGTAATTAAAGATTACTCTAATATGTTCATAGGGCTCTCTCATAATCAACAAGAAGTCACTTTGATTGATAGTCACTTCCATGGAAATAGGAAGGCAGGACCTCTTAATAAATTTTCATGTAAAAAAATTCAATTAATGAAATCTTTCAAATGAATATCCAGACACATTTAACTTCAAAGCAGGGTTATTTAAAAATCTGTGTGAGCTTTTATTATCTATTAACTATATCAAGCCAAAGCCCAGAATAGAAATTCTGACTGTCCCTGAAGCTTTATAAAAAGCCCCTGAGGTTTTCTTTCTCTTACTCATTAGCTGGTACTCTGGTGGTGTGAGGGATCAACTAGAAATCTATAGCAATAAAGCTGGTGCTGAGGCCAGCCTGGCAGGTGAGAAATTAAGACAGGAAGTGAATCCTGTGGGCTTTAAAATAATGAGGAGAAATGGCAAAACCAACAGCAGTGGGTAAAGGGCATGAACAGCTAAAGAGTCTCCATGGGTCATCATTGGAAAACATATTATTTCAGTATATATTCTCTTGATTTAGTGCCTGCTACCTGAGGTCTGTGGTCCCACTAAAGCTAATAAATCATTGCTCTGGATGACAGCCTGAACACCTGTGTTTTATCATACAGCAGGAAACCTTGTAAATTACCAGGAGAAGCAACTAGTGACCAGGCAGCTGAGCTATGAGGATCAGTCAAAGCCTCAGTCCATTAAGCCCATTTCATTTTATTTGCAGGTGCATTAAAAGAAAAAGGGGGCCCTGAAAAAGATGAGCCCCAGCTTTTTGATTAGTATTTAATAAGAATGACACAGGGCTGCTGGAGTGGATTCCTAATGGCCTACAGATGGAACATGTCTACAATGGAACCCCACCTGCTTCTGTCTGACCATTGGCTATGCTGCAATTTAGCTATAAAAGCAACAGGACAACTTCAAGGGAGTGGTCTGCGGCAGGCACAGAAACCTTGCTTTGTGCTTTTGTGCCTTTGAGGTTTGTTTTGTACAGAAAGTTTGCTTACAAATTCACTTGACCTGTCACACTTTTTAAAACTTTTTACTCCATAAGTTCCTTTCAAATAAACTAGCCAGGAAAAAAAAAATGTTCTAAAAGCCAGATATATACTTTTTGCAAAGGTATTTAAGTTAATAAACTCAGTCTTTTTTAATCCTTAAATTTTTATTCAAACTATTTCTGTCTTGTTATGATAGTCTCTGTATTCTTGAGCATTCTCCAGAGGCAGAGGTAAAAGGAAGTTCGAAAGAAAAGGATATGTTTGTACAACTCACTTAATGGAGCCATTCACCCTAAGATATACATTCATAGAAGACAACCTCTAAGTACTTCTTGATTTACAGTCTGTTGTCTGTCATTAAAGGAAAATCTAGAGCTAACTTTGCTAACTTAGGTCATAATGACATTTAACTCTATAGGGCTACATTTCTGATTACCTAGAGATCATTTATGTGGATTGAGTATATGAAGTGCTATTTTGAGATCACACTTCTTTACATAGAAGGAATACACCTGCTAGGCTTCCAAATACAAAATGACAAGCCCAAATTTCAGTATGCCAACTTTCAGAAGAGAAGAGAAAGGGGGTTGTGATTATCTCTAATTGTCTATACTTGTAATAGCCAGATGGCCATAATTCAGCAAACACCAACAGCTCTCTCTTCCCTGTCATTCCTTTGGAAACTATGAGCTGGACAGGGAGGAAGGATAAACATAGATCTCCCCTTCCTGCAGTCCCTCCCTTCTGAATATGGGGAGTCATTCTACAAGTACAACTTATAAAATGATCCCCCCTCTTTGTGCCTCTCTATAAGTGTCTGTTCAGCCAGTTCTCAATTACTCAGGGAGAAGTCCTGCCATATTCTGGGCAATTTTCATTCTGTGTATCCTCCATACTCTATCATCGTCTCTTCATGTGCTGTCTGCTATTTCTGGTTATGCCATCACTGGGGTGACAGAAAGAAGCATCACCCATCAGCAGCCCCCTCCCTGTGGGCTGTGCCAAAGGCACTTCAAGCAGGGTTGCTAGAGTAAGTACTCCATCAACTTCCACCTCTCAAAGCTGTCAGTGTAAGATGATGTATCTACAAAGGGATTTCAGAGCTTTATAAGCAAATAATGCCACCTCCAAAGAACATATTAACTGAGCAAACAATATGCCTTAATTCAGCATATGCATTTGCATATTTACACAGAAGCCCCTGCTGCTTGTTTGCCTAAGATAATGAAAGAGCATCCAAAGAGCCTTCTCCACTGGAGTCTAAGCACACATACAAAATACACATTAGGTTGATTTAAAATTTTAATTTCCTTTTCCTGGGGAGGTTACAGTCTTCACTTGGAGTAATTTAGATAACTCATAGTATCTGATAAGAGAGGAAATAGCCCAGGATAGACCCACTTATCAATCTTTTTCTTTTTTAATTATTATTAATTTTATTGATATATTTTAGGTATACAATATAATGACATTCCGCATTGGAAGTTTGTACCTTCACATAATCTACCTTGCTCCTTATTTTTCCCCATACCCCTGCCCTCCCTTGAACCCCTCCACCTTTTTCTTTATGGTATTGCTAATATTTTTCACTATGCTCTACCAACTTTTTTTCAGTATTGAATGAGGTTAATAAGAATGCAGAAAGACATTGAGTCCTAGTAATATGAAAGCTCTAAAGTTCAACAAAATTCTATAGTAACATGAAATCCTAACACTGAAAATCCGGTAATAAATATCTCTGCTCCTAACTGTCCACAGAAAAAGCAGTGACCCATACTCACCTGGGTAACAAGTCCACAGCAGCATCAACATAATTCAAATTTCTACATTTTCACATTCTTAGGGATTTTTCTTTCTGTAAAATATTATTAAGAATGGTTTCTGTAGTACATTTAAATTGAGTGTAGGCCTTCAACTTCTTTTTTTGACAGGTAAGCAAGAGGAATAATCAAATGTTCAACATTTCCTTTTCTCAGGGAATTACAATTCAGTTTTTCCTAAAAATAAGCAATGGGATTTGAATGGTGAATGGCATTAATATTACAAAGAAAGAAATAGTACTGTTTTTGTTTTCAGAGTAAATGATTACGAACGTAAAAAGTCAAAAATTTTCTACAGGACACCTATTCTAACTGATAAATAAATTTTGGAAAGGATATGAAGTAAAGTCCACAAACAAAATATTGAGTCATTTCTATATACTAATGATAATTGGAAAAGGCAATTTAAAAATCAATACCATTTATATTAGTGTCAAAACTTAAGACTGTAGTATGATGGATAAGTAGGTAAATAGAACAGAACAGAGTGCTTAGAAATAGTTGCACAAACATGCAGCCATATTTTATACAAAAATTTTAGAAAAATCAATGAAAAAAGGAAACTCTTTTCCCAGTACCCCTCAAAAAAAGGAAACTCTTTTCAACAAGAACTGGAAAAACTTCATAAATGTATGAAAAAAGAATCTTGACTCCTTACCAATAACATGCCAAAACTTAATTTGAGATGAATTATTGCCCAAAACTTAAAACTAAAATTTAAATACTTTAGAAGAGGTCCAGGGATTTAGCTCAGTATTTCCAACACCTGCCTTACAAGAGCAGGGACCTGAGTTCAATCCCCAGTACCAATAAATAAATAAATAAATAAATAAATAAATAAATAAATAAATACTTTAGAAGAAAAACAGAAAAAATTATATTAGCAGAGCTAAGCAATAATTCTTAGGGATAAAAAAGAAAAGTAACAGATCCTGGGGAGCAGCAGTGTGGTCCAGTGCAGGCAGGTCCCAGCCAAGGCTCTGTTTGGACTCCAGAGGCTTGAGCACACCCACCCAGCCAAAGGCCCACCCAAAAAAGTACTGCACAGTCACACCAGCTTCAGCCAGAAGCCCATCCCATAGCATCTGCAACAGCCCACCTGGAAAAGAGCTACATAGGCACAAAATCTACAGCCAGAGGCTCACCCTGATACCATTTATAAGTGCATAGAAACCTTGAGCAGTTCCTGCTCAGACAACAGGTACACAGCCCCCAGACAAAAACCTTCCCAGACAACAGGTACATAGAGGTCCTAGCAAGAGGCTTACCTAGATGCTATCCCAAGTGTGCACAGGCCCCAATCAGAAGCCTTCCCAGACAACAGGTCAGCTCAGTGATCCAGAAGGCCACCATTCTGAACCCAGGAATTGGTGTACTCATAAGCAGTACAGAAAAGTCCTCTTGGTGGCTTGCTGAGAATTGAAGACCACTGGGTGAGCAAAAAAGTTGCCTCAACAAAGGCACCGCAGGCTGCATCTGTTGAAATAAGACACATAAACAAGTCTCAAAACCAGACCTCCATATCACCTATGGCAATGCCTAAAGGAAATGAGATGGGACAATCTGATACTCAACCACTTGGACTACCTGAACTGGCAGTGAAAGTGGACCTGGAAAAAAAGAAATCAGAAATAATCTCTCAGATAACAGCAGATATTGTGCCCATAGTACAAGACATGATTAATAAATTTAGAGAAGACACAGATTTTAAAAAATGGAAGCTCTGAGAAACATGATATAATTCCAATATATGAAACAAATGAAGCCCATAAAACAGATGCAAGCAGATTTTCAGGAGATTAAAAACTCCATTGAAAGTTTACATAGCAGAATGAGCCAGTGCAAGGATGGAATTTCAATACACAAGATAGGATTGCAATTAGTGACCAGAAAAAGAAAAATTTCTTAAAAATAACAAGGGACCATGAGAAATTAATCCAGCAGCTGTCAGAAAATACAAAGAACAGCATAAGACTGATCAGAATCAATGAAGAAACAAAAGAGTGCAGACAACATAAAAAACTGTTCACAGAAGTAATGGCAGAAAACTTCCCAAGTAGGAGAAAAGAACTTGACATACAGATAAGTGAGGCATATAGGATTCCAACTAATTGTGATCAAAATAATGTATACATAGGCATGTAATAGTTAAGATTCCAGAAACCCAAAAGAACAAAATTATTCAAGCAGTTAGAGAAAAAGAAATATATACAAAGGAAAGCCTGTCAGAATCATAGTAGACTTCTCAACAAAAACCTTCAAGAAGAGCTTGGAGTGATGTATTTCAAGCTCTAGAGGAAACTAATCTCCAACCAAGATTGATATACCCTGCAAAACTATCTTTCAAATTTGATGTAGAAATAAGATATTTTATGACAAAGAGAACCTTATGAATTTCATGAATATCAAACCAGCAATCCAAAAAATTTTGAACATATCCTAGGAAAAGACAATGAGGATCACAACCCCAGGAAGTCCAGCAGAATTAATCCATCAGGCATGACAAGAAATTAACTGCAAAGAAGGAAAATCCAACAAAAAGAAAAGGTCATGACAAGGATAAGTCAATACATATCACTTATAACCATCAATGTTAATGGTCTTATTTCACCAATCAAAATAAATAGACTGGAAGAATGGTCAAGAAGCAAGACCCAAAGGGTTAAGGGGGTGAAGGGAGGGCAGGGGTATGGGGAAAAAACAAGAACCGAGATATATCATGTAAAGGTACAAGATCCCAATGATAAGTGTAACCTTATTGTTTGCTTTTAAATGTACCAATAAACTTAATGTGAAAAAAAGAAATAGGACCTAACAACATGCTGCATACACACCTAATTTTAAGAAACACACCTAATTTTAAGAAACTCATAGGCTTAAAGTTAAAGGGTGGAAAATAGTATTTCATGCAACAGGAATACCCTAAAAAGCAAGAGTAGTTATCTTCTTTGCAGATCAAGTGGATTTCAAACCAACACTGATTAAGAGAGACAAAGAAGGACATTACATCCTTGTAAAAGGAACAATGCAAGAGGAAGAGATAACAGTCATAAATATATATGTACCAAATACTAGTGTGTGCAACTATATAAAAAATACTAATGGACATGAAAAATCAAATAACCACAATAGTGGTGGGGACCTCAATAACCCACTATAATAAACAATGCAATACTAGACCTCAATCAAACTCTTGAACAAATGAACTTAACAGATCTTTACAGAGTGTTCACACCATAAAATCAGAATACACATTCTTTTTAGCTTTACATGGGTCATTCTCCAAAATAGAGCACATACTTACTTATAGAACATGTTTAAGTAAGTCCAAAGGAATTAAAGTTATCCCCTGTATATTGTCAGACCATAGTGCAATGAAATTGGAGCTCAATAGCAAAAGAAACCAAAAGAATTTCATAAACACATGGAAATTTAACAACATAGTTCTGAATAACAAATGAGTAACACAGGAAATTAAAGAAGAAATAAGATAGTTCCTACAATTAAATGACCATACAATATATTGGAATATATGGGACAAAAATGAAAGCAGTTTTATGTGGGAAATTCACAGCAATGAATACTCATATTAGGAAAACAGAGTGAGCTCATTTAAACAATTTGATACTGAACCTCAAGCTTCTAGAAAAAGAAGAGCAGGACAAACCCAAAGCTCATATAAGGGAGGAAATTATAAAGATCAGAACAGAAAATAATACAATGGAGAATAAGAGAATGGTGCAAAAAGTTGATTAAACCAAGAATTGGCTCTTCAAAAGAATAGACAAAATTAACAAACCCTTAGCCTACCTTATTAAGAAAGGGAAAGAAAAGGTCCAAACCCACACAATTACAAATGAAAGTGTTGAGAATACAATGGACCCAGCACAAATCCAGAGAATCATCAATACCTACTTTGAGAACCTATACGCCTATATGATGGAAAATACAGAAGAAATGGAATGATTCCTAGATACATATAAAGTTGCACAAAGATGATCTAAAATTCTAAACAACCCAATATCAATCAATTAAATTGAAATTGTAATTAAAAACTTACCAACTAAGAAAAGCCTGGTCACTGATTGCTTCATTGCTGAGTTCTACAAGACATTTAGAGAACTACTGCCACTACTATATAAACTCTTCAGTGAAATTGAAAGAGAAGCAATACTCCCAAATTCATTCCTAGAAGCATGCATCACCTTCATACCCAAAGCAGAGAAAAACCCAGTGGAAAAAGACAACTATAGGCCAATCTCACTAATGAACATACATGCAAAAATCCTTTATAAGACACTGTCAAATAAAATGCAGAAGATCCTCAAGATCATACACTCTGACCAAGTGTGATACATCCTAGGGATTCAGGGATGGTTCAATATACACAAATCAATAAATATAATACACTATATTAATAGAACCAAGGATAAAAATCATATAGTCATGTCGATACATGCAAAGAAAGTATTTGACAAAATCCAATACACATTTATGACAAAAAAAAAACTCCAAAAAATTGGAATAGACAGTCTATACCTCCAGCTGGTAAAAGCCATCTATGGAAAACCAACAGCCAATATACTAAATGGTCAAAATCTGAAATATTTCATACTAAATTCAGGAACAAGACAAGAATGTCCACTCTCAATATAGTTTTGGAAACATTGGCCATAGCAACTGGACAAGAGAAAGAAATAAAAGGAATAAGACAGGAAAGGAAGATGTTAAATTGTTATTATTTACTGTTGATGTGGTAGTCTACATAGAAGTCCCAAAATACTCCTCTAAAAGACTTCCAGACTTAATTAACAGATTCAGTAGAGAAGCTGGATACAAGGTCAACACACAAAAATCAATAGCTTTCCTGTATATGAACAACACTCACTGAGAGAGAAATGGGACAAATAATTCCTTTTACAATTGCATACAAAAAAGTTGAAATACCTAGGAATCAACCTAACAAAAGAAATCAAAGACCTCCACTCTGAAAACTATAGCACTATGAAAAAAGAAATTGAGAAAGATATCAGAAAATGAAAAGACATCCCTTGCTTCTGGATAGGAACAACCAACATAGTGAAAATGGCCATACTTCCAAAACTGCTGTATAGATTCAATGCAATCACAATTGAAATTCCAGAGGCATACTTCACAGACCTTGAGAAAACAATCCAAAATTTCATTTGGAACAAGAAGGGACCTAGCATAGCAAAAGCAATTATAGGCAAGAAAGACAAGGTAGCGGGTATCACAATCCCCAACTTGAAACTATACTACAAAGCCACTGTGATAAAAACAGCATAGTTCTGGCAAAGAAACAGACATGAGGATTAGTGGGACAGATCAGAAGATGCAGAAACAACTCCAGACATACTCAGCCACCTCATCTTTGACAAAGGAGCCAAATATCTTTACTTGATGACAGATGGCCTCTTTAATTAATGGTATTGGAAAAACTGGGTTTCAACTTGCCAGTGATTAAAACTAGACCTATATCACTCATCATGCACTAAACTAAAATCAAAATGGGTTAAAAATCTAAATATTAAAACAGAAACACTAAACCAGCTGGAAGAGAGGTTAGAACTCTTGAAGACATTGGCATAGGAGAATAATTTATGAACAAAACCTAAGTTGCACATGAACTAACCCAAAAATTCACCAAGTGGGATCTCTTCTTATTAAAAAGCTTCTGCACAGCAAGAAAAACAATGAATAGCATGAGGAGACAACTTACAATGTGGGAAAAAATTTTCACCAGCTGTTCCTCAGATACATATCTATTATCTAGCATATATAAAGAACTTTAAAAAAATCAGATCTCCCAAATTTAAAGACCCAATCCAAAAATTGGTATCTGAAATGAACAGATATTTCTCAGACAAAGAAGTAAAAAAAGCAGATAAACCTATGAAAAAATGTTCAACATCACTGGTCATTCAAGAAATGCAAATGAAAATAATGCTGAGATTCCACCTCACCCCAGAAAGAATGGCCGTTATCAAGAAATCAACCAATAACAAATGTTGGCAGGGATGAAGGGAAAAAGGGACCCTGCTCCCCTGCTGGTGGGAGTGTAGTCTGGTGCAACCACTGTAGAAATCAGAAATACCCACATAAAAAAACTAGAATTAGAAGTCCCATTTGACCCAGCTATCCCCCTGCTGGGTGTCTTTCCCAAAGAATTAAAAGAAGCATACCACAGAGATATATGTGCATCCATGTTCATGGTGTCACAATTTGTAATAGATGAAACTTGGAAATGGCACAATTGCCCATCTACTAAGGACTGGATAAAGAAAATATTGTTTGTTTTTTTTTTAAATAAAATGGAGTACTATTCAACCATAGCAAATGAGAAATTGGAAACATTCATAGCTAAATGGATGCACATTGAGGTGATACTCTGAAGTGAAATAAACAGAACACACTTGTGAATGCTGAACAGTTTCTCTAGTGTGAGAAATTGAAAGGTATAATAGGTAATGTTAAATAAGAAGAAAAGGGACAAAAGGGAAGGGTAAATGGGAGGGGTAGGGGAAAGGAAATAAGGGAATAGAATTAATATAATAAAATGAAAATAAAAATCTTTGTACATAGGGAGGAGGGAGGGGTTGAAAGGAGGGCAGGGGAATGGGGAAAAATAAGAACCAAGATAGATTAAGTAAAGATGCAAATTTCCAATGATGAATGTCATTATATTTTATACCTTAAATGCACCAATAAAATTAGTTTAAAAAAAGAAAACCACTAATTTTATTGATTTCAAACTCAGTAAATTATACTATTATAAAATGCAAATGCAAACTACAGAGTGTAGGACAATTTTGCAATGATAATTGACCTGTTGCCTAAATTTATAAAAGTAATGGAAATGCAAACAATCCAACTGGAAAAAAATGGCAAGGAAGAGCTTTGAACATAAATTTTGCAAAAATAGGAGGAAAATGGAATGACAAATAAGCACAGGAAGTAATGGAAATAAATGTTGTATAAATGTGCTGTTGATCATATGAATAAATGTTTACATTTGTCTAAACTCATTGAATTTAAAGATTTTTTTCGTTTTGCTGTATGTAAATCTTATTCTACCAAAAAAGAGAATTAAAGAAAAAAGGGAAATAATCATATGGTAAATATGAAAGATCGATTCTTTATTTGTTGTGCCCCAAAATAAAAGTGTCATCTGTAGTCTAAAGGAAAACTAGTAACAGACTTACTCATTGAACACTTGCTGTGCACTGGGATCCTCTTAAACGAGCACATTTAATGGAATTTTTTTCATTTTTGCCTTCAGTGTCCTCAGGTTAACCTATAATGACATATTTTATTATCATTACTCCTAATACAGATGAGGAAATTGAGGCTTGAACAGATAAAAGAATTTCCTCAAGATCACAGAACTAATAGGCAAAGACAAACTCATACCTAATTGTCTAACTATAGAAACTAGGTTCTTAAACATAGTAGATCATCAGTAAAACATTCATTTATGCCTCAGAAATGGGTTGTTTCTTTTTTTTTTTTAATCTTTATTAAATTTATTGGTAAGGGCCAGGGATTTGGCTCTATGGTTCCACTATCTGTTTTGCAAGTGCAAGTGCCTGAGTTCAATCCCTGGCACCAAAATAAATGAATACATACATACATACATAAATTTATTGGTACATTCTAGGTATACAATACAGTTACATTCATCATTGGAATCTTGTACTTATACATGTTATCAGGTTCTTATTTTTCCCCATTCCCCAGCCCTTCCCTCAGACCCTCCAATCCTCCCTGTTTACAAAGACATTGTTTCCATAGTTTTCCTTTTCACATACTTTTTTTCCCTTTTACCTTTCCCCTACCCCTCTCACTTCCTCTACTCTTTTAGACTTTTCTTCTTATTACACAATATCAATTATATATTTTAATCCCTGTTTATACTTTTACTTTTTCACACCAGAGAACCTATTTGGTATTTATACATATATGTCTTATTTATTTCACTTAAGAGTATGGCCTCAATGTGCATCCACTTAGCTATAAATCTCTCTAGTTTCTCATTCTGTATGACTGAGTAGCATTCCATTTTATTTAAAAAAAATCTTTATCCAGTCTTCAGTTTATGGGCAAGTGGGCTGTTTCCAAGTTTTAGTGATTACATACTGTGCCACTATAAACATGGGTGAGCATATATTGCTGTGGTATGATTCTTTTAATTCTTTTGGGAAGATACCCAGCAGAGGAGTCAATTGGGACTTCTAATCCTAGTTGTTTGAGATATCTCCATGTTGATTTCAAAATGATTGCATCAGTCAGCACTCCCATCAACAATGAAGGACTCCTAGCTCCCTCACAACCCTGCCAGCATTTGTTATTGGATATTGGTTGATTTCTTGATAGCAGCCATTCTTTCTGGGGTTAGATAGAATCTCAGTGTTGTTTTCATCTGTATCTCTCTTATGACCAGTGATGTTGAACATTTTTTCCTATATTTATTTACTACTTTTACTTCTTTTTCTGAGAAAGGTCTGTTCATTTCAGATGTGCATTTTTGAACGGGGTCTTTATATTGGGGGGATCTAATTTTTTTTTTAGTTATTTGTATATTCTAAATAGTGGATCTTTATCTAAGGAAAAACTGGTAAAAGTTTTTTCCCACATTGTGGGTTGTCTCTTAGCCCTGCTTGTGATTTCTCTGGCAGTGCAGAATCTTTTTAAAAAGATGAGATCCTGTCTGGGGGTGTAGCTCAATTGTGCTGCTGCCTGACTGGCAAGGGAAGGACCTAAGTTTGAACCCCATTTTAAAAAAAAAAAAACAGAGAATGAAAGAGAGAGATTCTTAAAAAAAATGAGATGAGATCCCAATTGTTGATTCTTTGTACTAGGTTCCATGCTACTGAGGATTTGTTCACAAAGTCTCTTCCTATGCTGATATCTTTAAACTTTCTATCTAATTTATCTTCCAGCAAGTTTAGTGTTTCTGTTTTAATATTTATATATTTAATCCACTTGGATTTTAGTTTAGTGCATGGTGAAAGATACTGGTCTAGTTTTAATCTTTGACAAGTTGAAATCCAGTTTTTCCAATACTGTTTATTAAAGAGGCTATCTTTCCTCCAAAGAGGGTGTTTGGCTCTTTTGTCAAAGATGAGGTAGTTGAGTATGTCAGAATATGTTTCTACATCTTCTAATCTATTCCACTGACCCTCAAGTCTGCTTCTTTGCCAGTACCATGCTGTTTGTATCACAATGGCTTTGTAGTTTAGATTCAAGTTGGGGATTGTGATACCCCCTGCCTTGTCCCTGTTGCCTATAATTGCTTTTGCTATTCTAGGTCTCTTCTGATACCAAGTGAATTTTTGTATTGTTTTCTCTAGTTCTGTGAAATATACTGTTGCGATTTAAATAGGGATTGCATTGAATCTGTATAGCAGTATTGGAAGTATGACTATTTTCACTATATTGATTCTTCCTACCCAGGACTAAGGGATGTTTTTCCATTTTCTTATATCCTCTTTTATCTCTTTCTCTCTCTCTCTCTCTCTCTCTCTCTCTGTTTTTTTAGAGTGCTATAGTTTCCAGTGTAGAGGTCTTTTGTCTCCTTCATTAGACTGATTCCTAGATATTTCATTTTTTTAGATGCTATTGTGAAATATATTGTTTCCCTAATTTGACTGTCAGTGAAACTGCTATTTGTGTATAAGAAGGCTATTGATTTTTGAGTGTTGACCTACTGAATCTGTCAATCAAATCTAGAAGTCTTTTGATGGAGTTGTTTGGGCCTTCTATGTAGAGTATCATATCATCAGCAAATAATGACAGTTTAACATCTTCCTTTCCTATCTTTATTGCTTTTATTTCTTTCTCTTATCTAATTGCTGTGGCTATTGTTTCCAAAACTATATTAAACCAGAGTGGTGATAGTGGACATCCTTTTCTCATTCCCAATTTTAGCATGAACGTTTTCAGTTTTTTACCATATGGTTTCAGTTTCTTTCTGTGAACTTCTGAAAAATGTTTATAAGAAAAAGATATACTGTATAAAGAGATGAAGTGGGGCTTTTTGTTTGGTTGGTTGGTTTTACATTTCTCTTGTTTTGTTTTGTTTTGCTTTCATTACTTGGGATTGAAACCAGGGCCTTCACATTAAGATATATCCCCAGTTCTTTTCTTATTTTTTATTTTGTGATAGGATATCACTAATTTGCTAAGGTGGGCTCAAACTTCAGATGCTCCCTCCTCAGCTTCCCAGGGTACTGGGATTATAGGTGTATGTCACTGTTCCTAGCTTGAAGTATTTAGAAGGGGATATGTTGGATTACTGCATTTAGAGTCACATTAGTCATAATGATAATGATGGCCATGACAGTTAAGTGATTGTGTTGAGTAAGACACACCCAACTAAATTGGATCAGCATACTGCTGGGTGTAACAGAAGGGATTTACTGAAGATGGAAGACCCACTCTGGGTATGAGTGGCACTATCCAATAGGCTTGCATCCCCTAAAAGGAATAAAAAGGCATTGAGGAAGGAAGGCTCACGTTCCAGTCTCCACCTTCACCTTGGACTCCACAGCCTCCTGCAGACTTGCACAGAGCTCTACAGTGAGCTCCAGACTTTAAATTTGGACTATACCCTATATCTCCAGCACACAAATGAAACCTTTTCCCCTCTTCCACACCTGACTCTGTGGGCAGCCATTGATGCCTATCATGTAAATCCTTAAATATTTGTATATCTTCCATTAAATCTGTTTCTCTAACACACTGACTAATACAATGGTTAAATTTTATTGAGTGCTAAGTGTATATCAAACACCTTTTGATTCAAAAACTCTCCACAATGGCCTTGTTAAGTAGGTGTAATCATTCCCCTTTTTACTGGTGAGAATGCAAGGTAAGTTTTAGTCATTTAGTCAAAGATGTACATCAAGAAAGTGTCAAGGATCCAAAACTTCGAAGAACATACAGAATAAAGAGAGGAAATTTGCAGGATGTTCCCATTACCACAAACTCAAAAATAAAAAAGGTATTAATCATGAAAGAATGTAGGGGAATAAGATATAAAGAGAGGAAATTTGCAGGATGTTCCCATTACCACAAACTCAAAAATAAAAAAGGTATTAATCATGAAAGAATGTAGGGGAACATAATATTGATTATGTCAAAGCAAGTCGTAAAGAGTTAATCCCACAATTGGCTTGCTTCTTGTTTTGAGAAGTGAGTCCAGCCTATGCCTATGTGCTGAGTTCAGAATAACTCCCACCCAAATTCCATATCCTCAATTAAAACCTTCTAACTAGAAGGACAGTGTTCTAATTACAACCATATGTTTTATCTATTTTGTTCCTAACTTGAGAATGCTTTATCTTGTCTTTTCTGAGACTTACTTACATTAATTTCCTTAGAACCAGCACAACTACACCTCCCACACATAGTTCTGCCTTTTCACATAGCTCACCTTTACCCCAATTGATCACTAATAAGAAATCAGTGGACTGACCAGAGCCTTTATCAGTTGCATTAGCAATGGTCATCCTGGCACTCCACTTTGTCTCTCTTAGTTCTCTCTTAGTTTTATTTTTTCTGCATCAAACACTGGGCAGAAGACTGAAGCCTACTACAGAGGTTTCCAGTCATGATTCAGGGGTCCTGAGTTCAAGGACACAATTGGGAGTTAGTCATATTAAGAATATTATAATGAGGAAGAACACAAGCAAAGTGAGTACAGGAGTCTGTAACTGAACCACACATGTCTCAGCTGTTTTCATTTTAAGAGAACAACTATGAAGGTGCCTGGGATAGGGGAAGCATGTCTGTTCAACAGATAAATGATGTTCCCAAGAAAGGCTGGTCTAAAGCTACACATTGTGATAAATGCTCTGTAATGGGAAGAACTTTCTGGGTTACAGAGACCCCCCTCATAAACCAGCTTGACAATTTTACATTTTAATGTAAATGAGTTGGTACTATATTTGTGAATTAACATATCTTTGCTTCTTCTGTCAGAAAGTCTTGGGGCATGAAGGGAACCCATAGGCCAAGGGAACAGTGAAAAGCAAATTCTCCATATGTGGTGGCTAGTAGTTTGGGGACACCACTGCCACAACTCTTTCTCTTCCCTGGAAACCATAAAGGCAACTTGACAGCACTCAATGGGACAAAGCTAGATGGTCAGGAAAAACTTGTAGGACTATGAAAATGTCTTTTATCATAAAACTATGAAATAATTCCCATCAGTACAGAATTTTGAATCAAGAAAGCAAATGCCATGACAACTTGCCTTTGGTGGGGATGTGAACAGGTCATTTTCCCCATGCAACTCAGTTCTGCCTACTGCCTTACTGGGATGAACTCTACCACAATCCCCTCCAAGGGTTAATATTTACCAGGAAGCTTGGCAGCAAGAAAGGCAAGCCCAAAGTGACTCCTAAACTAAACAAGAAGAAATGAACCTGAAGTGTTTTCCTTACTACTTACCGTAGGCTGCAGACTGAGGAAGAGCTCCCAGCTCAGTAAATAGATGAAAGCAATGCAGTTCTGCTCTGCTGTTCTATTCTAAGAACTTGGGGTGATTACAAAGATTTTTAGTACACTAGCAGAAAAAGGGAATGCTGGAAAGCCAAATCAAAGACAAATATTTAAAATGTTAATAGATTAGCTATTAATATACTCTAGAAACAGAATAAAATATATCTAATGGACATTTTTCTTTATTGAGGAATTTGATATATGATATTTCACCAATTTTGAAAATGAACTGTATGAAATGATGATTTTTAATATACTGGTTTTAATTCTGTGTGTTTTCTGAATATGAAACCCATGTCTTGAAAAAGTATTCAACTCAGTAAGGACAATGGTTAAGACAATACAGTGCATTTTGCTTTGATCATTGAAAGGATGAAACAATACAACATCAATTACCCTTTACCACTAGACATACCTTAAATAACCAGGTACATCTCTAATATAAAACATGTGAATGTTTTCTCTG